TGCCAAGTATTACACACGTAGGCTCTTCTTCCAGCAAAATCTCTGCTGCGAAGCCAGAGCTACAGCAGATAGGATTAATGTCATATCTGTACTTTGCATTTTTTTCTATAACAGCAGTAGTAATTGGTCTCTGTGCGTTGTGGAGCCCAGGAGGTTTGAAATCAGTTGTAGAGGAAAGTACTGTAGCTTTTTCTTTCTTTCTTTCTTTCTTTCTTTCTTTCTTTCTTTCTTTCTTTCTTTCTTTCTTTCTTTCTTTCTTTCTTTCTTTCTTTCTTTCTTTCTTTCTTTCTTTCTTTCTTTCTTTCTTTCTTTCTTTCTTTCTTTCTTTCTTACTTTCTTTCTTTCTTTCTTTCTTTCTTTCTTTCTTTCTTTCTTTCTTTCTTTCTTTCTTTCTTTCTTTCTTTCTTTCTTTCTTTCTTTCTTTCTTTCTTTCTTTCTTTCTTTCTTTCTTTCTTTCTTTCTTTCTTTCTTTCTTTCTTTCTTTCTTTCTTTCTTTTTGTAATAAAGAAATTGTCAAATCTCACAGTGTGTATGTGATGCTGTGACAGCAGTGCAGCTCATATGGAAATATAATTAATTTCAGCAGGCAGAGAAATGCAGCAGAGACTGTGCTTTGGCTTTGAAGATTGCCCTGGTGAGGCTTTGGTGGGATTTGGTTCACAGCAGGCTCAAGGCAGCAGATCTGTGGCTGGAGAGGGATTGCCTCACTCCACGAGGAATCGGGGGCTTCAGGTGGTTTCCCGAGGGTTTACATGCTTAAAGCTGCATAATGGTGTGCTTTCCTCAATTCGCTCACAGCTTCGATTTCTGTTTCTCTGTGGGCATTGGGTTCTCCCCTTCCATGGGAGTATTTTTGCTTTTTGCCACCTGGGTTCTCTCTCTCTTACCCATCATCTTTGTGCTGTACGTCCTCTTGGTCCTTTTCCCAACAAGAGCACTCAGTTTCTCACCTCTTCCTCTGACTTGTTTACGTTTTCACTGCTGTTGGGTCCAGACTTGCACTGCAGTAAGATCTCCCATGGTACCAGCAACAACAGAGACTTAATTAATCTGTAAATGAGTGGGGACAGTGTGCCTGTCCAGATGGCTGCTTCTGTGCTGCAGTGCCAGAAAATCTTCCCTGCTTCTGCTGCTGCCCCATGGCTGGCAGCAGGACTCCATCAGTCAGCAGGGAGATGCCTGCCTTTCCACACTGTGCTGCTGTCCTGCAGCCTGGCAGCAACAGCTCATGTTTCGTGCCTGGCCTGAACACCTTGTCCCAATCAGCTCCGGGTGTCTGTCACCGATGTGGCTTCAGGTATGGAGTAAGCTCTGGGATACCTGTGTGTGTGTGCTGCTCCTGCACTGGGGCCAGGATGGTGTTTGTTTGCTTTCTGCATCAGCCAGGGGCCTTGCAGTGCTGCCCTCACCCTCAGCTCTCCTCACAAGCTCTCATTTTGCTTAGGCAATCCCTCCAGCCTGTTCAGCAGAGCTCAGCCAGGTCTCGGGGCTCACCTTGCTGCAGGGAGCAGCCACAACCCTGTCCCAGGCCTTATGTTTCTCGGGGCACCTCGTGCCAGCAGCAAGATGCCACCATGTGCTGCAGTGCTGCCTCCTGGAAAGGGGAGCAAGGAGCTTTGTGTCACCCCATGGCTGCTTCCCTCGTTAGCAGGAGTCCAGCCTGGCCACGAGTGCAGGCAGGCACCCAGGGCAGTGTCAGGTTCTCTTGTTGGCCCAGCTTGGTGGCAGCTCCTGCTCCCTGATCCCACTATTTTTAACATGGGCAGGCTGTCAGGTCCCAACCCATCCCATTGCTTTGGTGGGCAGCAGCAGCAGCCTCAGCACTGATGCAAACAGAGCTGTGCTAGACCTGGCTGCCTGGACTCAATCCATGTGATCAATGGAAATGATGTCAGGGCTCAGAGCAGAGCATGCTGTGCTTAGTGCTGCAATACGTGGAAGAGCTGAGAGGGAGATGGTGGAGCATGCATCTCCTGGCTTCCTGGCTCTGAGGGCCCAGGGTGGCGAGGGCAGCTGGAGACTGGTGGATTGCAGGGCTGGCTGCTCCCATTTAGTGCCTTTCTGTGGTTTTATGTGGGATTTCACCGTGTCTCATCTCCCTTCCCTAAACTAACAAAAAGTTTCAAGATTCTCTATTTTCACAGCTTTGTTATCTTCTTCCCTTATCTTAAATCAGCTTCCTCAGCAGCCTCCCTGAGAGCCACAGCCTGCAGCTCAGGCCAAACACAGACAGACCTGTGCTTATCTTCTGATTATCCTCTCACAGGCTGCCTCCTCTGTGTGATGTCAGACCAGAAAGTGGCTCCTGCAGTGACACACTGGCTGAGCTGAGAAACGTCCAGTGAACACCCCTGCACAGGGCTCAGAGCTCGCCTTCTCCAGGCTGTGACCACCAGTGCAACGCTGACTGCTGCACACTAGGAGAGAACAAACCTCTGTATGTGTGCTTCACCAGCACTCGGTTTATCTCTTCGTGAGCAGTGCTTCATGTAGAACAAGGTATGCATCTCAGCTGTGAGCAAAACCAGACAGATGTGCTAAGTTTTGTGCTTCTTGCTGATTTCATGCTGGTGGGGTTTTTTGTTTTTGTTTTTTTGAAAGCTAGCTGAAGTCCTCCAGCATCCTCTATGGGTTAATTTGTGCTTTACCTCTTGTTATCTAAAGCTGACATAGATATTACATGTGACCTTTTAAAACACACAAGGAGATATCAAATAGGTGCACTTGCTTTTAATGAGAGAATGGTTCATGGCACGTGTTTTACAAGTGCTAATTGGGGTTAAAAAGATAAACAGCTCTGATAGGAATTCCTATAATTTGAAGTTTGTCACACTAACAGACTGGGCAAAAGTACTTTTAACACCTAATTAATTAAATCCTCCTTATGCTTTTCTTAAATTTCTGCAATACTGATAATCCAGACCTGACCATTAATATCCCACAGCACAACTGTGGCTCTTTATGTACATTCTCTCCTGAAGTTTTAAAAAGCCAAACAGAGCCGATGTGTTTGTAATTGTAATTGCAGTGTGAACAGAGGTGGTGCCTAGGAGAGCGTTCAGCAGGTGAAAAATATAAAAGGTGGACATAGCAGTAACTGAGTCATGGCTACATTAAGTCTTGGACTGTAAAACCATCTTGACAAAGCCCTCAGTTCCTGGCTTACAAGATAATTATTTGCAGATTTTAAACTGAAGATATTGAGTAGGCAGGGCTGGAATTTTCTGGCAAGAGCAGCAGCTTGCTGTACATCTCAAAGAAAAAATCAGCTAACAAATGCAGAGCACAAAATGAACTAATATTGTTTATCTCATTATCGTGGCACACTGATTCATCAGCAGCCAGCATCTGCTCCCATTGCTGAGACAATGAAACAGTGGGTACCCGTGCCAGAAGGATTCTCACAAGCTGAGAGCATGATGGAAAAGTAAAAGGGAATGTTGGAAATAATGGTCAAACATTAATGGAAGCAGTTGATTGCTGTATTTTGCTATGTGCAGAGCAGATTGCTGAAGAGGCTGAGCACCAGAAGGCAGCAGGGTGGTGGTAGATGTGGTCTCAAGGCTTGCCCTACCTGCAGAATGGGTTTCCTTGCCCAGCTCTCTGCTGAACCCCGGCAGTCTGCCAGCCATCTCCTGCTTGGCCCAATGTCTTTTAGTGCAGTAGCAGCAATGGAGGGCCTGGAGACAGCATGCTATTGAGCCCGTGGGTGCTGGCAGCACAGGGCTGATGGCACCAACCTGCCTCACAAAGGTTAGGAATTGCAATTTTGAGATTTCCGTGAGAATTTTCTCCTTATAAAGCTCAGCTTCCTCACTGCAGTGACAGCCTTCTGTCAGAGAGGGCATGCTGGAACTGCTGCTGAGGCAGCGACGCTGTGGGTGTGGGTGGAGGTTTGCAGTTTAGGACTGCCCACGGAAGCAGTGCTCGCTGATCCCTGCTGCAATCACTGTGTAGCTGTGTCCACAACGGCTTAAACACAGGGCTAAACTAAAACAGCTTCGCTGCAGCCCTGAAGGAGCATAGCGGTCATCATTTCAAATGTCCTGATTCACCTGATTTTTAGTAACCTAGTTCAGTCGGGCTGAGGAGCTGCCTCCTCCGCAATGCCTGCAGCAGAGGGCAGTCTGCAGCATGAATGCATTACTGATATGTTAAAAACCATGTGCTATGCCAAGGAAGTATTTCTAGGACAGGATATAGCTGTACAAGGATGCTGAAATCTCACCTAAGAAACAGGCCCCTTTTCCTAACAAAACCAGACAGCATTGCAAAGTATCATTTCATTACCGTATCTGTGAGAGTGCTGAATGGTTTTGTTGATACAACTGTGTGTCATGCTTCTTCCACAGCACAGCTTCATTTACAAGAGCACAGAAGTTAGTTCTGAACAGACAGATGGCCCTCAATCAGCGCCTGCTACAAGTGATGACTTGAATCTTAGGTACAAGGTATGATTCACACCTGACTGCTGGAGGTGCCAAGAAAAAAAAATGACAGCCACTGGTGCTGCAGTCTGTTGCCCAGCTTATTCCCAAAATCTGACTCTCAATACTGAGAGCTGACAGCGGGGTTCAGAGATGACAAACGACCAGAAAATAACACAGTCTGTGAGTCTCTGGTCTGAGCTGTGCCAAGCTGTCTCTGTGGAAGAGTCAGCATTGGCCCTCTGTAAATGCAGCTCTTTGGTCCCAGGAGATACAGGTCACACACAGCATTTATGGCTCATCCTCACTATTGAAGTATAAATCTTCAGCAAAGGATAATTACTTTAATTAGTTCTTAGCGTTGTACTATCTGTGGAGAGATGCTTGCCTGCCCCCTGGAGAGCTTCTCTCTCAAGGAACAATCTGAAGTGGGTGAGAAGACAGGTGTGGACCTAGGGCACAGGAAACAGTAAAGCAGGATGAGATAAAAGCTGCCATTGCCCAGGACAGCCTTCACAAAAAACTGTTAACATCCATGCATACCCAGCTTCTTTTGTACACTTCAGAAATAAATCAAATTCTACAAATCCTGGTTTTTATTTTTCACATTTCTTAAGACACAATTCTAGCAGCCCTTTGCTGATCACACCGGTGTCCCTTGAAAGGAAAGAGCTATCTCCAGCAGTTCTCTGCCCAGCTCCTCATGCCTTCCTCCAGCCCTGAACTCTGCAGACAGCTCTCTGAACGTGACACACACTCGCCGATGCTCGATATGCCTGCGGTGAATGGCGTGCTTCCACTTGTAGCGAGCCTCACCATACAGCACCACCAGAGATCTCCTGGGTAAGCGAATGGCAACGGTCACTTCCTTACTTGGGACGAGCCTTGGGGATAAAAGGCAGCTGCTTCCCTGTTTGCCTGAATTCTCACATGGTGACGTTTGTGTAAGAGATCCAAGGGGATTTAATTCCCTGTTTTCATTACTGAAAGTAGGAAATAATTGGATGCTGTCCTCTGAATCACAAGACATGGACAGCACAGTTTTTGAGAGCAAGTTTAAGCTAACCAGACGTTCTCCCCACAGCCACCAATCATCAAAATGTGGGTCAATGGCAGAACCTCTTTCTGGCCTGTAGTCCAGATTGCATTGTTCAACAGGCATGAAGCCACCTAGCACAGAGCAGGCCTCCATCTGTGCCACAATCTTTTTACTAAAACTTGGCAAGCCAGTAAAGCCACCAGCTTTCAACCTCTGTTTCTTGAAGTTCACTTTGGGTCCGTAATCCTGTTGGAAGAGGGGGAAAAAAAAAACAGCATTAAAGGAAAACCTGGGACAAGACCCGAGGCTATGATCCCTATGGGGTCAAGGCTTTTGAGTTCTGTTCTCTTCCAGCAGCTCCTCACCAGTTTCCAAAATCACAGAACCATTAAGGTTGGAAAAGAGCTCTGAGACCACTAAGTCCAACCATCAGCCCATCCCCACCGTGCCCATTGAGCCGTGTTCCTCACTGCCACATCTGCCCTTTTCAGGAAAACCTCCAGGGATGTTGACTGCATCGCTTCCCTGAGGAGCTGACTTGGACAGGCTACATTAATCTCTCTGGAATTAGGTTTCTTAGCTGGCAAGCAAAAAGAAAAACAAAAAAAAACCTTACTTCTCTCACCTAAAACTGTGTGAGCTCTCCCAGAGAGGCTGTGGATGCCCCATCCCTGGAGGCATTCAAGGCCAGGCTGAATGTGGCTCTGGGCAGCCTGGTCTGGTGGTTGGCAACCCTGCACATAGCAGGGGGTTGGAACAAAATGAGCACCGTGGTCCTTGTCAACCCAGGCCATTCTATGATTAATGCCTGAATGCGCAACTGGAATTTGCTTCTGCGAGCAGCTGATTTTAATGAGAAGTCATTCTTGAAATTGATTTCAGAAAAAGTTCCCAAAGAAAAGCTGTTAATGAAATATGTAAGTGGATTGGGTTTGAAATGCAGAGAGATCTAAGAAGAAACGTGCTTGTAAAGCCAAACCTGCTTCTTTCGACCAGACTGCGAGGGCTTCCATTCATCCCTATCCATCAGTTCAACCACCTCCACTTCTTCATCCTCGCTAATGAACTCCTCCGCCAAAAACACCCCTGGGAACGGAAATGCCCAGCCAGCAAATGGGGAGCACTCATTGCCTTCAGCTAAACCCGTTGCCGGACAGTAAGTGAAATTATCCTCCCCCTGCAGAAATAAAAAGAGATGACAAACACGTGAGGGGGGAAGCTCTCATAACGAGCCGTTTCCCTTCATTACCCCAAAACCTCAACGTGGAAACCGCCTGCCCGGCCCGCAGAGGTGCGAGGGATGCTGAGCGCAGCCCGTTCCTGTAGTACCGTCTCCGTCCCGCAGCGGTGCTGGAACGTAGCTGACACCGTCCGGGGCGCAGCGCCATCGCGCTGCCCTCAGCGATGCGCGCCCATCGCGGGGGTCCCGCACGTTCTGAAGGACCGCGTGCCGTCCCGCCCCCCGCCGGCCCCGCCCCGCCGCCCCCTCCCCGCTACCTGTGTGGGCGGAGCAGCCTGCGCGGGCCCCTCGCAGAGCAGACAGGAGCGGATCCCCTTGCAGCCGCAGCTCGGCCCCGCGCCTCCGCTCGCTGCCGCCTCCTCCTCCTCTTCTTCTTCCATCCGCCCGGCTGAGCGCGGGACGCGGCCGTTCTCTCCCCCTGCCCGCCCTCGCGGCCCGGCCCGCTGCAGGTGAGGGGCGGCACGCGGGCTCGGTGCAGGCCGCGCGGCCGGGCCGGGGGCGGCCTCGCTCTCCCGGCATGCCTCGCGGCGGCGCCGGGGCCCGTAGCGCTGCTGTGCGCCGCGGGGGCCGCTGGGAGCTGTAGTGCCGCGCGCAGCCGGGGGCGCTCCGGGCCGCGGCGCGGCGGGGCGGAGCGGGGCACCGGGCGGAGCGGAGCGGGGGACCCCGCTGTTCCCGAGAGCTTTCTGGCGCGGGACTCGTGCCCGCAGCGCGACGCGGCTGGGCCGGGCCCGGGGCGAGCTGCCGCCGCTCTGCCGCCGCGTTCGGGTGCAGCCTTTTTGTTTCCCTCCTCGAGGCCGTGCCGCAGCCCCGTTCGAAGCACTGAGTGCCGAGTGTCCGGCGACCGCTGTCTGCGGAGGGGTGGGGGGACGCGGCTCGGGGCGGGCAGGGCAGAGCTTTGTGCCGGGTGCGGATAGAAGTTGCTTACAGTAAGGGCGGCCCGGCGAAGAAACGGCCGTACCGAGCGGCGGGTGTTGCTATGGGTGGTCATTAATCCCGAGTTTGAGGAACGCGGAGGCTGCCGGCAAGGAGTCCGGCCGTGTGGGCAGCTCTGCGTTCTGTATCGCCTCCCCCAGAGGACGCGGCTGCTGCAGGTGAGCTTATCCTAAGCCCTGCTGTAGGGCCGTCCTCGGGCCAGAGCCTGGCTGCACTGCACAGCCCTTAACGCCGAGAGCCCTCGCGGTGCACGCAGCTCATCTGCAGCCAGCCTGTGGCTCGCGGAGCGAGCTTTTGGGACGGGCTGGGTGGGCTCGTTCGGGGTGTGTGCCCACCTTAGTGAGTAGCCCCACTATTCTCATCTCAGCCGTAGAAAAAGAGCGCTTCAAACACAGCAGCAGAAGCAGCAGCCGACCTCATCACGTTTTTTTCTCCCCTTTGGAGTCGGTCGCAAAGGATTTCTTCTTATCCCTGTTTGTTTTCCCAGGGGGGCTACGAGAAGAGTTCTTACAGCTGCTTGGTGATTGCAGCTGGAGGACGAAGATAAACATGTCAAAAATTACTACAGAGCTTCTTTTGGAAAGAGCGGTTCCGAAATCCACGAGGCTCCGAAAGATAGAAACACTGAAGTAAGTGCAAGCAGGCCTGTGGAAAATTCCAGATGAATTCAGCACGGGTAATCCTCCTTCCAGGCATTTCTACTGAAATAAGAGAAATCATGACAAAGCCCAGAATTAGAGATGGTGTTCTCAGTGCAGGAGCAGTGAGCTGCCACAATTACTGCCTCTCTTCACCATATATGTTTCCTGGGTTCTGATTTCCTAATGCTAAGAGGTGTTCCTTCCTTCCTCAGAAACCTCTTCTGTCTTTGGTAGCAGTTGCTCAGTGTAAATAGGAGCAGTGCTTCTGGTCTGGATCTACAGGATTTTCTTAATGTTTTGGCATTATGTCCATTCCCTTTATTTTCTCCTCCATCACTTTGCTCTAAATCCAATTATATTACTATCTGCAACACTGCAGAAAGGGTGAGTGAGCTGACATGCTTAGCAGCCTCTAAAGCACTTTTATTGCTCAGACTCTCTCAGAGGTCACTGAATGTAATAAATGACTTTCCAAGTGGTAAATAACAGTGGGATATTTTTTAAATTGAGAACTGGTCACTCCAAGTGACTCATCTAGCTGATTTCTGGCAGGTGTCTGTGTTGTTTTTGTTGCTGATGGAGGAGCTCTGTGTTTCATATGTACGTACAAGTAACTTCTCTTAGTTTGTCTTGTGCTGAAATAATTGTTTTCAGGGAAAAACTTGAAAATTTATCTATAGAGTGTGGGTTGCAGGAATCTGGGTAACAAGGTGGTGTTCAGGTGGCAGAAGCAGTGAATTTCTAGAAGTAGTTTTTCCATGCAGCTACATGCCATGATTTTGAAGGGTAATATTTCTGAAAGTCCATTTGGGGAGCGCTGTGCTGAGTCTCTCCCAGTCCTTGTCTGTGTCCCAGCCCCAAGTGATGCTGCTGCTTGGAGTCACAACAGCAGTCACACTCAGTCTTGCAGCCTTTTCAGCTTTTTGTGCGTACTTTGGCTGGTTAGGCTTCTGAGATGACAAGTGGGAAGTGATCTTGCTTTCTAAGTTCATGTACCCGATTTATTTGCATTTTCTGTGTATGGCCCTTTATTTACTAATCATTATAGATGGAGATTCTGTTTGTTAGAGGAACTCAGGCTTAGGTCCTCAGGAGACCCTGGCTGACAGTGCTGGAAGTTCCCTGTGGGCTTCAGCTAAATGGGCTAATCATCCCTGCACCATCCTTCCTGTAATACACAGTTTTCAGTTTCTCACTGAGGAAGGCTGCTTTTTCCCTTCTCAAACCAGACTGAGGGGTGTCCCAAGGTGTGGCCTTGTACCCTGTAAAGGTCAGCACTCGTTTTGCACTGAAATGCAGGTAGCTGATGTTCTCTTTTCCTTTCAGCCTGTCCAAGCTGCAGCTGAAGACTGGAGACTTAGATCCACGTTTGTTTTCACGTCTGAGGCATCTACAGAAACTGGATCTCTCTGATAATTTATTGGACAAATTTCCCAACAGTCTAACCCTGCCTGATCTGCGTGTCCTCAACTGCAACAACAACCAGCTGGAAGATGTCACTGCTCTGAAACAGTTCCCTCTGCTTGAAGAGCTAAATTACGAGAACAATGTGTACCTCACAGTGAGTTATTTCCCATTCTTACAAATATTACGTAGAGGGGGAAATAAACAGCAATTGTACCTAGTTCTCATGTGTTATTCTTAGGCAACAAGTGAGGGCACCTTAGAAAGCACTCAGTGCTTTTATTCTGCAGGATGTGAACAGAGTGCCCTGCCTTGCAGGCGGGTCAGAGGCCAGTTTCATCACCACCACCTTGTGTTGGTGTCAAGTACTGCAGAAGTGCGAGGCACTTGTCTGCATTGCTGAAGATCCCAACTTACAGAGGAATCCTAATTTACAAGTGAAAGTTATTTGAGTCAGAAACGCTGAGAAGATTTTATGGAGTATGTTTTCTCACGTAAATACGTTCTGCTCTTCCTTGGCTTGTATTTTAATAAGCAATAAATGAACTGAAGCAACCACCATGTGTACAATTTTTGTAACTCTGCTGTCTTTCTAGCTCAATGATGATTATAAAGTGATGTTTCTTTTGCAAAATCTTCGGCTGCTCAATGGCAAGGACATAACCAAGCTGGCTAATCACGTGAGGCGTGTCAATAGCCGTAAGCTGACCAGCAAGGTAAGATGGGCAGTATTTTCTTCACTTGTGAACACCTGCAAAGTAACTAAATACCGTGCCACAGTATGGGATGTACTTTAAATACCTCATTACTGCTTTCTCTGGTCACTGCTTGCATTTGTTGCCACTTCTACCTTCAGTTTCAATCAGTGTGAGGACATTCTGCGTTTCCATAGTGCTGACTCTGTTGGAGTACTAGGCTGCAAAACTGGCAGGAACTGACAGCCAGAGAATTCTTGACTAGCAAAGAGGATTTGTCATGAATGCTCCACAGGGGCAGGAGCAGCGAGGGCTGTGTTTGAGCCTCCAGTTTCTAGGTCACTCAGTTGCCATGCAAATATGGAAGAAACAGAGTGCTTCCTTACCAGCTGCGTGCACCTCTCCATCTAGTTGATGTTACTTGTCGTGGCCCCAGGCATGGGAGTTCAAAACCAGGCTCAGGGTAATCTTGATTCTCCCAGCACGCTCCAGGAACAAGGACTTGTTTGTTCTTTTGCTCTGCGTGCCTGGAATGGTTCTCTTACTTGCATACGTGGTCATTCAGCTCATGACAAATTCTCCCTTCATTGTGCCCAAGGTTCAGAAGCCTTTTGGAGCCAAGATATCTGAATTTACAAATGGTGGTGGTGTGTGTGTGCTGCGCTTGTGCAACACTTGAACTGCAAGAAAACTCAAAGATGCCCATTGTCACGTAGCTGTTATAGTTACCTGTCAGGTGCTCTCTGCAGTGAAGCATGGTGTGAGACTTCTTAAGAGCACTTGCTGTGAATCTAGAAGCACGAAATCAGGCATTGGTCTGAGTTCATGTTCTTTGCCACACAAACTTGGATCTGAGGGACTGGATTTTGTTTGCACTGAAGTTGTGCTTCAAGTGCTGATCAAATAAATCAAGTAAGTGCCATCATGTGGATAGTGGAGCCACAGGGTTAACAGCTGAAATGTTTTTACAAGCACTGTTGTGCTTTAGTTTTCTGTAGTACACTGTTGAGTAAGCCCAGTCTTTCTATGTAGGTTACTGCTCACTGGGAAGAATTCTTCCGTGACCAACTTCCTGAGAAGTACACAGCTGAGCAAGTGAAGTCCATCAAGAAAAAGTTCCTGAAGTCAGTTCAGACTAATGTTGTGTATGGACCCAGCTCCCTGAGTGAATTCACCCGCTGGCGGGTGAGCTGCTTTTCATTGACACTCTTTTCTTCTGGCAAGGGCTCTGCAGCCTGATCCTGAACAGTTCTGATTGAAGTACTGTGTAGATTTGGGCTCAGAGGACTCTTTCAGGAGGATGGTATCTTTTCTTTTCCTCATTGTTTTGTTAAGCAGTTACAGGAGCACCAATGCAAAGTGTGCACCAAGATGCAATGATTGTCATTGGACATTGGTTTTTAATTCATAAACAATAATGACAGTTGTACCAATTAACAAGACTATGGTATTCCTAGTACTTAATTTTGCAAACTGCAGATCACTTTAATGGCAGCCTTTAATCTTGTGGCTTCCATCAAGGAAGCTGTATGAAAGGAGAGAAGGTAATGACAGGACTGTAGTTGCTCCTAGTGAGGAAAGCTACCATTTTATCTATAACACAGGGTTGTATGTGCATCAGCTTCCATCGCTCCTTTGTCTTGTTTTACTGCTGGGATGTTGTTTTGTACCTTGGAAGTCCGTGACAGAGTGAAGTTCTTGGATCAAGTAGTGCAGACATAGTCAGCGATGCAGGCTGCCACTGATGTTGTTGTATGTGGAGGTGAACAGTCCACTCCAGCTGGCAGTGTGATGCACTGCAGGGTGGTGATCATCTGCAGAAGTCATTGTAGTCACTCATTTGCAGTGCAGATCTGCAGATTCTGATCTGTCCTGGGCAGTTTGCAGCATCCACATGATTTGTATGGTTGATCAGAGAGGTGTGGTGCTGGTGCACCAGCCTGCACATTTCAGTATGACCAGTGAAATAACCTTGTGAAATTCATGTAGAATAGGAGGGAAGAACATGCTTTAAAGCCCGGCAGACCAACTCTTGTCATGGCATATCGGAGTTTGGCTGTGGTTTCTTATTGTCTTTCTTTTGTATCTATCAACATATTTGTTTATAAGGTGAAAATGATTGCAGAAGAGTTTCTGACTTGCTCGCTGGGTCTGGAGTTAAACACAGATACTGAAACAGAAGAAAACATGGATGAGAATGAGGAAGAAAGTGCAGAAAGCTCCAAGGAAGCTGCAGAGGAGGAGGCGAAGGTAGGTGATTTACATTAATGATTTACGTTTCTTTTTAAATTAGATTTTAGCAAATTCAGTAATGCTTGTCAGTTTCCTTTAGTGACCCTGTGCTGACTGTAGGGGCAGCCTCAGGCTGCAGCCTGTGTTCCACAACTGGGACTTCTTTATAGCCAGATTGAAGCCATCCCAGCAATAAGAAGGTTGGGTTGCTATTCGAGAAGACAGAGCTGTTCCATTCATAGGAAACCCAAAAGATTTCATGAGTATAAACCAACCCACTCCACCCATCCTTTGGGGAAGCAATATTTCTGATGAGAGAACTGGGCTGACATGGCAGGCTGAGATGGTGCTGGAACAGCTTTGGAACAGCTGCAGACTGAATCTTCTCAGGCCATGGGCCAGATTTGTTTTTCCATGTATGTAAATCACGAGTAACTGGGGCAGGAGAAATGAATTGCAAACTGGGCTGTCATTAGCTTCTGCCTCTAGGAGCTCTGAGAGTCTGAGCTGCCTGATTTTTGGAACCTAGTTTATGACTCCAGGAGGGTACTGGGATTTGAATCAAGGCTCTTTCTTACTTGCAAACCATCTGCACATCTTGGGGAAGCTTCTGCAGAAACTGACAGCGTGTCTTACAGGTTACGGTAACTCCCAGAAAGAGGAAAAGAAATCGTTCAAAATCACGTTTTGGAAGGAAGAAGTCCAGGTCCCAGGCAAAAACTGAGGAAACGGTACCTAATCCCAGAAATTCCAGTCAAGAGGAGGATGATTCAGCTCCTGATAAAGCAAGAGCATCGAATGAGCCAGCCAAAGAGGCAACCCCTGAGCAGGGGGATGAAGGGACACATAAGAATGGAGAGAAGATTCCCAAAGGGCAAAGCAATAGAAGATCCAGCCAGCTGCCAGGAGAACAGAAAAGCCAGGAACAGGACAACGGGGTTGTTAACTTGACCCCAGTGAAGAACTCCAAGGCCAAGGTATGTTTATCCCCACCCTGGGGACAGGTTTTCAACCTCTTGGTTTAGTGGGAGGAGCTGCACTGAGATGTCAGCAGAGCTCTGCATATCTTGGAGCTTGTGACTGGCCAGGTATATTGTAAGTTACAGTTTTATTCTGTGTTTTGTTTTAAATCTCTGAAATTTCAGGGAAGGCCCCCCTTTGGAGACAGTGAATTCTCTGCAAGGAGTGGATGGACCAGCACTCTGAGGTGGTGCTCTGAAAGCCTGTTCTTAGAAATGGGACTGGCATGGGACTTGCTGTCAGGTCAAGCTAATGGCTGCGTGGGGGAAAGCGTTTCCCTCTCAGCTCTTATCAGTGGGGTTTTAAAAGGGTTTTTCACATTTCTCTACAAGAGAAAAGAAAGTTCCATGCTGGGGTCTGCAGGGCACACCTTTTCCAGTTTCTGTTTCGGGAGTCTCGAGCATCAGTGGCATCTTAATCTCTCCTGCCCAGGAGGGCTGAAAAATACTCTGGTTTAACTCAGATTGCTGTGTTTGGTAGAGGGTTCTCCCACGGCAGTCACAAACTGCTGTTAGGGGGAATTAATTTTCTAAATGTGGATGGTTTATTGTAGGAGGATATCAGTGTAGAGCCATTGCATTTTCTTCAGTGTCACAGTAAAGGCAACAGCCGCGAGGATTTTAAAACGCAGCTCTGGTCCTGTGTCTTCGAGCCATTGCTGGACTGTGCACCCAGGAAAGGTGAGCTCTTAAAGAGGTTTGCAGGATTCCCTGAACCCCCTGGCTCTGGAATCCCAGCAGAATCCATGTGTTAGACCCCCAGCTTCATCAAGCTGTAATCTCTGTTTTCAGGAAGAGATTTGTGTACATATTTTGCCTTTGAAAACAGGAGTCTGGGAGAGCACCAGGCCGTGGGCAGTCTTCATGTGTTATCTGTGAACTTCTCACCTTCTCTTTTCATCTTTCAGATCCCATTGTGAGTTGTTCAAGAACTGTGGCGACGTGTGGAGGGGAGTCTGTCTGTCTGATCGACTGTGAAACAGGGGTGGTGCTGAAGAAGTATAAGGTGGCTACAGAGGTGGGTTGCAGATGTGAACGATGAGCATTAAATGGAAATTCCATAATCCTTTTTAATTCCATAGATAAAATTGTAAACAATTCTGAAAGAAGGTTGCAAGCATTACTGTGGGCAGGTCTTAAAAGATGGGTAGTAAATATTTCCTGCTAGTTCTTCTAGCCTGGTTTGTTTTCTTTCTCTTTTTTAATCAGTTTTATGCCTCTTTTTTTTTTTTTTCTTTTTTTTTCAGAGAGGCATAAGTGTGTGTGTGTATCCAGGCTGCTAAGGAAGCTTGACAGCATAGACTAATAAACATCCTGTTTTGATAGGTTTTGTTCTTCCGAAGGTGTTCTGAAATGCAGTGCTTATGCCTGAGTGGTCGTGTCAGCTCACCTGGATTGCTCCATGACAGCTGTGTTACATCTGAGCTAACAGCCTTCCTGCTGACTCTCTTTCATGCTGTTCTCTGCTTCTTTCTGTCCTAGGAGTTCTTCAGTGTTGCATGGACAACTCTCCCAATGGTGATCAGTGACAGTCGGAAGAAATCTCATAACATCTTGGCAGCTGCAGGGAGGAGAGGGATTGTCAAACTGATTCATGTGGCAGCTGACTTCTGCTATGGAGAAATAAAGGCTCATAAAAAGCCCATTGCCACCGTCTGCTTCAGCCCGACTCAAGAAACTCACCTCTTCAGTAAGTCAGTAGTTCAGAATCTTAGCTTCAGCACCTAATCTGGAAAAGGTTGGGCTTCCTTCACAAGGGGAACTGTCACCTTGCAAGCAGGTATGGGAAACTGAGTGCTTACTGGGACCACACAGGTATGAGTACGGACAGGTGAATGCAGGGAGTTCCTTTTGGATGGCATTAGAACACAGCAGGGGCAAGTTGTTTCAGACAGAGTCTTATTCCTTAGCTGAGGTGCAGCAGCTCCAGTTTCTCACTTGGTAGCTCCCTGCTGTGCTGGCTCTCAGGGTGGCTGCCACACACTAGCCACAAACAGTTCAGTAGTGGATTCCTTCCGCAGGGCTGGGTAAGAAGAATGACAGGCAGAACGGCTGCTGGGGGCCAGGCAGCCAGCTAGCAGGGCTCTCATCAAGCATGGCAAGAGGGACATTGCAGCATGTCGTGGCCTGTTGGGTTTTGTTGTTCTAATGAGCAAAGCAGTGCACTTAATTGCTTTGAAATAAATGAAAATCTGTGCCTCGTCAGAAATTTCTATCTGGGTCCTGAGGTGGAAGTGAGCTGCAGCAGGCAGGGCTGCTGAGATGAAGGCTTAAGGAGCGGTGGGAAATGAACCATCTGTTACAAATTGCAGCTGCATTGTTGGGTCTGTAAAGTAAGCTGTTACAGGGACATTCAGACCACACCTGCACCCCACAGCACATTGTCCCTCTTGCCTACAATTGCTCACATCCTGGAGTGGTTAGAGTGCTACACCAACCATTACAAGTGGAATGTCTTTAAAACATGGGCAGCTGCAGTGGGTACTTCACAAGAGTAAGCTCAACAGTGTAAAAAGCAGAAACCTAAAGAGATTGGGAAGTAGCTACCACATCCCTGTAATGCTTAGTGCAGGCTTGATGAGCTTGACAGAGTTGCTCAGGCTTTTTTTTATTTAATAAAAATCTCTTGTAATAAATTACGTCTGCAAGCTTGAGGACAAGACACTGACTTGTTTGAGTTAATGCTAATTGATTGGCATTCTGATCACTGAAAATACTCTCTTGGCCTTGTTACTGCTGCCACTCAGTCAGCTGGGTGACAGAGACAGTAAGAGTCTTTTATTTTAAATCTGTCCCTAACTTTCCCAATGGGAGCTACTGTGGATGCAAACACAAACGTGTGGAATACAGCAGAATCTGTCTGAGAGTAGGGACTGTAGGCTCCACAGGAACCCACTGCCAGAAATGGGAACTTGAATGAGTGCTAATTAATGTTCTCATGAAGCCACAACTTGGTAACAGACACCAGGAACCAAACTTTCCTTTTGTCTGCTCCTCTTAGAGCACAAGAATGCAAATGACTGAATGTCTGACAATGTCTGTGAGGTGGTGTTGAGCTGGGATCCTCAATGACTGCTGCTGTACTTTAGTGAGCTCTGTGATGCCCCAGGCTTAGTGTTACAGCTCCTGACAGGTAGAATTGCCAGCTAGCATGAGAACCAAATGAGCAGCAGTGTCACTGCCTGCCTCTTCTGTGTCCTACAGCTGCATCCTATGACAAGCGAATTGTGCTGTGGGATATTGGAATTCCAGACTGTGACTACAATTTCAAAGCAAGGTAAAGGTACAAAATACCAGATGTGGCCAGTCTAGGAGGCTCTAGCTATTGCTTTGCAGCACCACTTCACTGTTCTCTTTTTAGCCAGCTGCTGGTACTGGAATGTTTGTCTGTACCCTTACGGATTGCCCTGGTGCCCACCTGCCCAGAGCAGTACCTGCTGGCTGGCTGTGAAGAAGGCTGCTTTACGTGGAATATCAAACTGGAGAAGGAAGAGAAAAGCAGGTGAGAGCAACAGTTGCTTTCTGTAACAACAGAAGTAGTCCTAGCTTTATTTCATATGGAGGTCTGTGCCAGGAATGCAGCATGGCTCACCAAACTTAAAGGGAGTAAAATAGCAGTCCCTGAAGCAAGCAGGCTCCTGGAAATTAAAAAGTCAGGTATCTCAAAAATTAATTTCAAGTGGGGATTAATCTGCTTTATCTGGAATGAGACTAACGTGGATTTCCATTTCTTGGGTTCTGTATCTAAGCACATTTTCAGTGCTGCTCATTCGGGACCTGAATTATTTCACTCTTCCTTCCCCAGGCCTTTTGAAGCCTCATTCAAATTTCCTGATGAGGAGGGAGAAATGTCGACATCTCACAGGGTTGACGGTTTGGCTTTTCTGAATGATGATGTTGTAGGTGAGTATAAACACGATAGCCAGATCCACAAGAGGTGAGGTACCTCGGTGTGAAGGACAACGCAGAGGAAGTAAATGGGGTGTGACTGCATCTGCTGTAGATTCTGGAGTGCTGTGCTCAATGGAGTTTCCTTCTAGACTCGCTTATCTTTGTGTAAAGATGAGGTATGGAGTCTCATCTGAGCAGAGCTGGAAAAAAGACGGACTCAACACAGCAGACTTTGCTTAGCAGTGCTGAAGTGGGAGGGAAGAACCCTTTGCTGTTCAAGGGCTGCTGGAAGCCCTTTGCAGAGGATTGGGAGTTCCCACAATTTGGAGGCTCTGTAAGACCTAGGGTGGGTCTTTCTGAATAGCTCTGCCTGTTGCACTTTTGGAACATGTGTGGGACTAAGAATCCCCCTGAATCCTCCAATTATCCTGAAATAAGGTAAAAGAAGTGGAAGTGCTTGCTGATGCTGTCAGGTTCCATGTCTTGAAAGCCACTTTCCGGATGGACTGCCTTCCCCAGCTGTTTTGAAGCACTTCTCAGCACCTTACATCATCTTCCACTTTTCTTCCCTAGTTTCCAAGAGCTCCAAACCAGGATGTATATACTTATGGAGCTGGAGTCGATCTTTTGACAGTAAGGGGAAAGGAAGCCAGAGAACAGTGTCTGCAGTTATTCTAGCTGAACTGGAGTGGTCCACAACAGACTTGTCCTATCTCACACTCAGCACCTGCCCAGGTAAGGCAGCACCCTTCAGCACTCCCAAGCATCAAGGCTGCACCAGAGGCAGCCATACTGCTCAAGGTTTACTTGTGCACAGATGCAAATGTCTCCCACTCGCTGGAGGAGCCTGTTGTTTAAAGCAGAGGAGTGGATTTAATTCCCAGGCCGAGAGAACATAGCAGGCCTGCCCCCCATGAGCAACAGGAGCCCTTAACTTGCAGCACAGTGCAGCTAATGGGCACCTGCTGCATGTAAATACTTGAGACTGTTCCTTGACTTCTGAAGGCAGAGGGGTTTTACCTTGGTGTGGTGCACCTGTCCCAGGGCAGTGTAGGACTAACAAAGAGTGAAGAAACCTGATCTGAGCATCACTTTTCAAAATGATGAGACTGTGGAGTCTGAATGGAGGCTTTTTTTTCCAGAGCTGTGTAGTTTAGTATTGTTTTTTTTTGTGCTAGAAAGATAACTTTGCTGGAATGTGACATCCTCTGTTGAGAGGATAAAGCACTGCCTTGAGCTCAGCTTTATAGACCAATGTACCCTCAGCTCCACTCTTGCTTTTCTGCTGTTTCTTTTGGTCTTACAGCAAAACTGCATGTGTTCTGTGGTGATGAGCAGGGAAGTGTGTGGATATACCACCTCTCAAACTACACCACAGCATGGAGCTCTGCAAAGGGAAAACACTCAGACAAGAGAATCCCACCCACACAGGTAGGTCTCATTTACCCTTTGTGACAGAGCTGTGCTCCCCTCCTCCCCAGGGCAGCTCTCCTGAGCAGCTTCACAGCAGAACATGCCTACTGTCTTCTCTACCTAACATTCATGGCCAATTAAAACCAATCTCCAGAGCGTGACCACGGCCACTTCAAATCACACACACACAATTGTGACAGGGATTATGAGCTGCAAAGCAAATCTGTTCGCTCTTGTGTGCTGTAGCTTGACTTTTCCTAGGAAAAGGCCGCTCTGAAAAAACCACAGCGGTTAAATGATACGGCCTGGCTGTTCCTGCACTGCTGTCTGGTGTGCAGCCACTGTTTCCCTGCCTGGATGAGTAGAGGGTGACAGCAGCAGCTGCTCCTTGGCAGAACTGCGTGTGTTGCAGAAGGGCAAGCTTCTGGGATGTGTTCCTGCCTCCCTTTTGCTCATTCTCTCCCTGGCCTATGAAAACACTCCTGTTTTGGGTCAGTACTGTGCCCTTACAGAGGTAACTGAACAACAACATGTTCACAAAGGCTGTGAGGCACATAAGCTCTAACTGTATGTAAATATGATGTGACCTCGTGTTCCATAAATGTAAACATGCTCAAATCAACAGTCAGCTGTTGGAGGAGTGAGGGGGAGCTGCTTTCAATTTTTCCTTTCTGATCAAGTCCCTCTTGCACTGAACTTCAGTCCTTCAGTAGGACTGGCATGTATCTGCCTCCCTCAGGCAGGGGAACAACCTTTCTATTCAGCTCCACCACGCTGGATGTGAGCCCTCTGTTCCAGCAGTAGACACAACCCAGGCCCAACTGTCAAACCAGGTGTTGCAATAATTAACATTCACCAAGTTTTAGGAACAGTGACACCGTTCCTTTTCTACACAAACTCTGTTCTCCTTGCAGATTCTCAAGTGGCCAGAGCTTCAAGCAAATGGGGAGCACCTGAGTGAAGTCTACATAAACAACGTGATAACAGACCCTACTTTCACTTACCTTGTTGCTCTCACTAGTGTGAACATTACAGCAATTTGGAAGAAGTCATAGTTACTTGTTATAGAATTTCATTCCCATGCTTTGAAATAGTGCAGTATTAGTGAGTGTTACCCATGTAACCATGAAGTTTTCTAGACCAGCTGTTACGTGCAAAAGGTACAGAGTTTGTTAAACACATCCAGTCATCCAGTTCTTTTTTCTGTAAGTTTACACAATTTGTGCATTTGTTTTATAGAAACAACACTTAATAAAACACAGTAACAAATCTCCTGCCAGAATCTGGATTTCTTGAAATGGAAAAGCAGGAATGTGATCTGCTGCTGCCACTCAGCATCTCCAAAGTACAGTCAAATTGAGCTACAGCCTGGTGCACATAGCAGCATTAAGGCTCCAAGTAGAAAAGTAAAAATCATTGTAGTGAATTAAGCCATCAAATCAAACAAGACTTGGCAGACACAAACCTCCCCTCCCAATACTGCTGCCAAAAATAAGCAGGATGAAAAGGAAAGTAATTGCCATGAATGAAGGTTTAAATAAAGCATTCAGCTCCCAGACGCATCATTCTTCATCAGAAGCGCAGTCCAGTCTTGGTGTGCTCATTTTACTCGATTCCTTCCTGTTTGTCTTTGATGGCAACCTGTAAAGCACACAAACAGAACTGTCACTGAGCTGGAGGACGGTTTAAAACTGATCTCATCAGTCTGATATCAAACACCAGAACATGTGCAAAATAAGGTGTAAGCACCCATGGAAACCTGAGCAGCCAAGCAAACATAAAAGGGGGATGGGTTGGAAGGGACCTCAAAGATCATCTAATACTAAGTCCTGTGTCACAAGCAGGGTTGCCAGGCACTAAATCAAGCACCAGATCGTATATAATTTGATTTTAATTACAGTGTTTTCTGTGCTAGCAAGATCATGAGAAAATCATTGGTAGAACTGTTACAGAGCACCCGTGTAACTCCTACAGGGCACATAAATAACCCTCAGGAGGAGCCTGGCTTGCAAGGAAGTTCTGAGCAACTGCTCAGATGAGTTTATTGCTATAAGGCAGCACCACCTCTGGGATATACCATCCCTCCCTTTGGTTCAAAGCACGAGCTTCCTGCAGTGGAAAGAAATGAGCTCACCCTGAATCTCTCTTCGAGGAGGGACAGCTCACTGATCAGATCTGTGATGGCGTTGGTGAAAGCCTCCTGGGGGCTGTAATCTGGCGTTGTTTGGACACGGATGATGATTTTGTGTTCCAGGGGGTGTGGGACCTTGTAACCTGCAAACAACACCTGAGGGTCCTTCAGTAACTGCCTGGAAAGGAAAAGCAGCAGTGAACAAGCCTGCATTAAAATACATATCTGAGCTTAAGGAAAGCCTCATTACTCTTAACCAGCCTCCCCCCAGATTTCCCCAGCCCCTCCTCAGCTCACGACTTGATGATGTTCCCCAGCGTGTGGTCCTCCTTGTTGATGGTGAACAGACAGGCGTTGGGCACCTTGGTGTCCTTGTTGATGGTGATCCTACACAGCACAGGGGCCGTTAGGGCAATGTTTCACTGCACACAACAGCCTGGGCGGCCGTGGGGGGGACTAGGGGGGCACGGTGCCCTCCACCGCTCCCCCCCACGGCCGCCAGCCTGGTTGCTGCTCACTTTTTCTCGCCTTCGAAGAGAAGGAAGGACTCGAAAGCCGGAGGAGCGTTCATCCCGCCGCCTCACGCTCCCTCCCCACCGTTCCTGCGGCGCCCAGAGCGCCACTTCCGCCCGCACTTCCGGTGGTGGCGCCCCCTGCCGGGCGGGAGGACTGCGCGCACGTGTCCTACAAAGACTCCGGACGCGGCGCGGGGCGGAACTGCACCTTTATTGCCACACTCGAGGCACAGCCCCCCTCACCTCTCCCCCCCCCCCCCCTCCCCCCTTCCCTTCCCTTCCGCCCCATCCCAGCCCGCTCCATCACGTCTGCAGCTCCAGCAGGGCGGGGGGCAGCTGGCGGTGGCAGCGTTCCAGGTCCTGCAGCGCCTCGAAAAGCCGGCGGAGCTCGATGGGCAGCAGGGGTCCTGGGGTGGGGGAGCACGGGGCAGTGAGACCTTCGGGGGCGGGGAGCGGGCCCCAAGCACAGCGCTTCTGGTGGGGATGGGGCGCTGGGGGTCCCTCCCTCTATTCTCCTTTCCGCCTCTACCTTCACCGCAGCCTCGAGGGCCGTTCTGAGGTCCCCCCTCCTCCATCAGCTGCCAGTACTTTTCCCTGAGGAGAAGAGGGTCGGTTAGCTGTGGGGCAGAGGGCATGCAGGAGTCCGCTCCCACTTCTGGGATCCAACCTGAGAGGCTGCTGCAGGCCGTGGAGGTGCTGGAAGAGGCGCTGCGCTTCCACGTCGGGCTGCAGCGGATCACTCCAGTCCTGCAGAGTGATGCTGTGCCGTGTCCTGCCGCACCCTGGCCCTGTGGGACAGAGGGGCTGAAAATGGTGGGGACACCTCTCCACCACCCCGCATCCCGACACCCCCGTACCCGTCCTGTCCTTCTGGTGGCAGCAGCTCCATTTGTCCCCCCGGAAGACACCGGGGTGGTAGGCGTGCAGCAGCTGCGGGTTGTTGCCACACACCTTTCGCAGGGCGGACAGCCACTGGTTCAGCTCATTGACGCACTGCGGCGGTGCAGAGCATGGTGACACAATGTGGTGACACAGCGTCCTGGTGGGTGACAGCCCCATCCCTGTCCCAGCCCACCTTGCACTGCAGGTACGCCGTCTCCTGCTGCCCAGCGTCATCCACGTAGACCACCTGCATGACGTGGCAGCTCCCAAAGCTCTTCTCCTCCACCTTCTCGGCCGCACGGATGTTGGCCAAAGCGATGGAGCCACACCTCTGCCGTTGGGGACACAGTGCTCGGTGCCCTCCGTGCCACAATGGGATCCCACCTCCCCTGTCCCCCTACCTCCGCCCCGGGGCTCTTGCTGAAACTGAGGGCCTCACTGGTGAGGCAGAAGTGCAGCTTCTTGGAGGTGGAGGCGAGCAGCGGCCCTTTGCCCCGCGTCTTGTGCACAAAGAGCAGCCCCTCCTTCACCACGGCGGTGCGGGGGGCACACGGCCACCCCTCTCCACCCTTCTCCTCCTCCTCCGTGCCCACCAGCTGGATGATGAAGGCCCTCATCTGGGAGGCTCCGTGCTGTAGGGCGGGTTGCAGAGGGGCCAGCCATTCCTCCTTGGCCCGCCCTGCCGCTGGCTCCATGTTGCCCACCATCTGCACAGCCTGCAGACCACAGGATGGTGGAGTCATTGCCTCCAGTGCCACCCGTTCCCCGCTGTCCCCATGTCCCACCTTGGCCAGCAGCAGCAGCGTGCGGCTGGTGCGTGCGTCGGCGTGCGTCTCCCTTAGGTGGAAGAGTTTGGGGGTCATGATGGCTGGCGAGAAGAAGCGGAGGCACAGGAAGCTGGTGACAGCCACGAACTGAGTGTGCTACAACCACCGGAGGCACGAGATGTGTGAGAGTCCATCCCAATGGCACCATACTTCATGATGCTTCAGGGTTGTGAATCTCATAGCCCACCCAGTTCCAAACCCCTGCCATGGGCTGGTTGCACCCCACCAGCTCAAGCTGCCCAGGGCCCTGTACAGCCTGGCCTTGGACAACTGCAGGGATGGGCACCCACAGATTCTTCATGGCACGGTGCAACACCAAGTCCGCCCCATTCCTCCATCCCCCACCGCTGGATTTGGACCTGACCTGATGCTGGGGGAAACGTTCCCCAACGCGCTGGAAGAGCTGCCGGAAAGCAGCACGGATGACAGGAGGACAGGTAGGAGCTGACTTGCCGATGGTATCCAGCAGCTCCCTGAGGTAGGACTGGAGGAGCTGGCGGCCCTGCTCTATCACCTCACTCTCTGTCTGCACGCGGTGCAGCCCCGAGCACCTGCAGGCACCACAGATCCCATCGGTGGGATCTCCGAGCACCCCCACCCACTGCAGCCCCCGTGCTCCTTACCCAACGTCCTTGATCTCCACCTTGCTGGGGTCCAGCTCCACGTACTTCTTCTCCTCAAACACCCGGGAGATGGTGGGCCCCAGCACCACATGCAGGTACTGCATCCCTGTCACCTGCCCAGGGGACACAGCACCCAACCTTAGGGGGTTTTCTCCAACTCTTGCCCCAGAGGCAGGCACAGCTCCCCATGCTCTCCCCTTAGGACAGTGTGGAGCTGTGGTGAGCTGGAAAGAGCAGGCTTTGGGGTGAAACTCCCTGTGGAGAAGGGGGATTTGGGGGCAGCAGCACCTTGAGGAAAGATTCCATTGACTTTGAGGCCAGGGAGTTGCTCCGGAACAAAGTGTTGGGTTCACCTGTGAAACAGGAAAAAGTCTGTGGAGCAGCCCCAGGTCACCCACCAGGCATTTCCACCCCCTGCACCCTGTTCATTTCCACTGGAATTACGGGGATTTCCCAACCACACATCACCCGCCTCCACCAACTTCAGCCAACTTTAGCCAATGAGTTCCTTGGGATGAACCCAGCAGGTTCCCAACCAGAGCACTCCGGAGGTTTTACAGCACCAAAAGAGGTAAGGAAGACCCTGCCCTCCTCTGCCCGAGGCTTACAGGGCTTGGCCAGCTCCAGCTCAAAAAGCAGGTCCAGAAACTCCTTCACCAGCCCTTGGCCCAAGAAGAGTTTCACCAGGTTGACGGCAACATCCTGCCGGCACTCAGCCGTGGTGGTTTCATCGAGGAGGGTGACCAGGTGCACCCCACCGGCCTGCAGGGACACGAGGACATGGTGGCACAGTGGCAGCAGGCACTGTGACCACGTCCCATTGGGGCTCTGCAGAGACCTCACCTGGTGCCCTGCCTTCACCTCCTGGCACAGCAGCTGGACCAGGGGCTGGTAGCAGTGAGAGGGCAGCACTGTCTCATCCCGCAGCCTCACCTGTAGCTGCAGTGAGCCCAGGCTGCCCCGGCGCCTATAGGAACATGGAGAGCAGATCCAGACCATGCACCCCACACCACATCCCTCTGGGACACCCCAAAACACTCACCTCTCCTCCCTGGCCTTGGCTGTGTCTGGATGCAGCCTGAACCAGCCCTCCTGGTGCCCAGCTGCCCGCAGCCCCTGCACGCTGACCACCACCTGGGGGAGGTTGGGACAGGCTCACGTCCCACCCCAGTAACGGGGCGATGCAGGGTGCTTCTGGGAGCCCACCTTGCCCAAGAAGTCATTCTTGCTGACGAGGTCCCAGTCCCACACCTCTACACACAGCTTCTCTGCAGGGGGGTCGGGCAGCTCGAACTCGAAGGCTTCGTTCCAGCGAGGATAGCAGGACTTCTTCACCACCTGCAAAGGAGATGGCTTTGTCCCCATGTCACACACACCCGACCCCCAAGGGGACATCAGGGATGGGGATATGCTGAGCTGAGCTCACGGTGCTCTCCTGTGTTTTGCCATTGTAGCTCACACAGACAAAGGGGTCGGACGCACCGTTCCGGTCCTTCTTGGCCAAATCCCTGTGGAGGAGAGGGAGAAATTTCCAGTGAGCCTTCAGAATCCCTACAGTGGGCACCCACTGCTCCCTGTCTCCCCTCCTTAGCTCCCCACTGTCTCAGTGCAGTGGGGAAACTGAGTCACAGAGCAGCCAGGACTCACCAGACACCACCAAAGCTTTCATCCCAGGACTGGGACGTCCCCATCCCCAACATCACCTGGCCTCCAGCACGGTGCAGCGCAGCCGCTGGCCGCCCTCCAGGAGCTCCACACGGAGGTGGATTTCCCCCTGCACCTCCTCATCGGGGTCCACCTCGCTGAGGCTCACCCAGCCGCTGTATCCTGGGGGAACAGTGGGCACCATGGGCAGGGGGCATTGGGGACATGGCTGGGTGTAGGGCTGGGGACACCCCGCCGTCCCCTACCTTTGGGGTGCTCTGCAAGCATGGTGCGGGTGATGCACACCTTCCCAATAACATCATCACGGCTGCAATACACAACAGGGAGGTGACATGGAGGGTGGCACTGAGGGGACACAGAGCTCCTAGGCCACCCCTTGCTGCAGGCAGTTTGGATGTCCCAAAGCCCTCAACTGCACAGCCATGTGTGGATTCTCTGCTGTCTGCTATGGGGTTGAGCATTGCCTTTCCCAACCCAACACTGCGTTGTCCGCAAAGCGCTCTGCCCATACCTGAGTGCATCCTCATCCATGACATAGATGGAGATGCTGTGGAAGGTGGGATGGAGCTGCACCTCATACTCTTCCCCCCAGAATGGGGACAGCGTCTTCCACACTGTGGCAGTCCTGTGGGACAGATGGCAGCAGTGACATCCCAACATCAGATGACAGGACTGGTGCACAGCACCCACACTGGGGTGGCTTATGGGTTGACCATGGATTATTGGACATTGGGATCCATGTCTCAAACCCAAAGCAGAGCTTTGGGAGCCAGATGGGAGAGGGCAGCAGGGCTGGATGTGCTCACCTGACGATGGCCTCATTGTCAATCTTCACAATGCAGTACGGGTCGCTGCTCCCCGTGCTGGAAGGCAATGGCACGACCCCATTAGCACTGCAGTGACCCCGACTTCCCGGCCCTGACCACAGCATCCTGCTGGCAGCTGATGGCAGCTCCTCGTCCAGATCGGAAGGGGAACAAACAAATCCCACCCTTTCCCCAAAGCAGGAGCTCCAGGAGCCAACACAGCCCCCTCAAGCCTCAAAATGGACCCAGAACCCAGATCCTTCTGCAAGGATGGGAACAACCCTGGGGACACTGCGGTGACACAGACCAGT